GCGTGTGAACTCAGCTCAGATCCGGAATCAGGAGCTCATCGTCCTTCTCATGTGGAGAAGCCTCGATCCTGGTTTGGTTTGTGCACGTTTTCCCTTTCGTTTAGTTTTTCTCTTAGTTATCCATCCTCCTGTTCTTTCAGTTTTAATGTTAATTAGGCTCTGTTAATTATGCTGGTTAATAATCAATTACCTTCTCTGTGTTTAACCCTTTAAAGCCTGATCCAAGAATAAAACAAAACAGAAAATTCCTTTTTTTTTTGTTTTAATTCCTTATTTGGCCTTTTAACAAAATATGTAAAAAGAAAAAACAGAAATACATTTTTGATATTAATAATTTATTACTATGTGATAAGTCAAGATTATTTTTTGTGTAGTCTTCTGCCCCCTGTTATCAGATGTATTTGATTATGTACAATAGGATTGTGAACAAAGTTTTTACCATTAAATTATCCAAAAGGAGTCAGACGCAAAACATTTCAGAAACCGTGTGTATCAAATATGATACGTTTGGCATTACAGGGTTAACCTCCCTGCTCTTCCTCAGTCCTTTCCTCAGCCAGAACCTTTTTCCTCGTTGGGTTATCATTTTATTCAGGTCCTCTTGTTCCCTCAGTTCAGTTCTTTGGCTTTTTGTGCCTTTTGCTCTGCTTCTCGGTAAATCTGATCGGTTTTTCTTCCACATCTGTCGCGTTTTCAGAAGCCAAAACGAGTGTTTCCACCTCTGAATCATTTTCTCTTCCAACCACAGAGCCTGAGGGTTCGGGACGGGGTTTGTATTCATTCTTGTCTCCTCTGTGAAGGGAATCGTTTGGCGCTGTTTTTATTACTTCTCAGCAACAGCAGCTGTGCTGAAATCCCTTTTTGCCATTTTCTGAGGACAAAATCTGAATAAACCCTTCATCTCCTGACCTGCTTTTGTCGGATTGAGCCGTTTGTGGGAGAACATTAATATTTGACTCAGCCAAGTACGACTTTACCAGTGTGAGGTGTCCAGAAATGGTCCAGGGGCAGCTCTGGGCTGGTTTACATGGAACATTACAGCTAATAAAGCACCAAAGAGAGAGGCTGGATATCATTTTGTTCCTCAAAGGAACAAAACGAACCAACAAACGGCCATCTGGTCGGGTTTTCTTTTTTAAGAGCAACCAAAATGTGCAAAATAGCTTGTAGAGTAGTAAAAAAAAGAAGGCGACTTCTTCTCGATTAGCATGAAACCGTGTTTCTGCAGTAAAACACACCTTAAATAACAGAAATCATCATTCAAACGAGAAAAGAATAAGAAGAAAATAAAATAGAAAATGTCTTTCGCACACTAAAGATGACCAAAACTGAGAATTGGGGCCAAATCTGGAGACAACATCTGGATTTTCTTTCTACCAAAGACTGCCCAAAAAAACTATGATGCACAGCGTGGGAAGAATTAATGGAGGGATCACTGAGAAGCAAACCGGAATGAATTAGCATAGTAAGCAGCAGCAGTTTTGTTTTCTTTGGTGAAAACTTTGTCGAAGCTGAGCCGGTCTCGTGTCATGTTTTATATGTTTTATTCTGTCTGACTGGCAGGCCAAAGGCAGGTGGACTCCTCCTTATTTCTCCTCTCACCTTAAAGGCTTCTTCAGCTCTAAACTCCACAGTGACAGATCAGCTTAACCCTATAATGCCACATGTATCATATTTGCTTCATACGGTTTCTGAAGTCTTTTGGATCTGAGACTTTTTGCATCGTTCAGTGGTAAAAGCTTTGCTCAAACCCCTGTTGGACACATTCAGATATACCTGATAACAGCCAGTAGAAGACTACACGGAAATATATTTTTGACTTTGCACGCTAATTTGATGAAAATAATTTCAGTTTTTTTTCTTCATATGTTGTTGAGGGGCCAAAGAAAGACTTCAGACTAAAAAAATCCAATATTTTTCCTATATTTCTTGGATCAGGCTTTAAAGGGTTAAAGTCTGAATCCTGAGTTTTGCTCACAAGGTCCAAGCTAGGAACGGCTGAAACCTGCTGGCTCCCAAACATCTGTCTCCTCTGTCCAGATGTGGACATCTGGATCCTCATGGTGCTCCTTCTCATCGAGGGGTCTATCCTGGAGGTTTTTTCTCTTTTGGTTCTTTGATAAGGATACCTGGTTGTTAGTTCTTTTAGGGAGATGGCCTCACATGTCTGGCGACTGTGGTTTTAGCACCGGTAGAAAATGCAACAATTTCCTTAATCCCATCAAGGATGACTCTCCCATTTCTGTTTTTATCATAGAAATTGAATGACTTGCCCTTTGTGCCATCCTCACTCATCTCCTGAGAAGATTCATGAGAAGATTCATGAGAATATCCATCAGAAGATTCATGAGAAGATATGGATTGATCAAACCATGGGACTTCCTTGAGGACTGAGGACTAAATCAGAATCTCTTTGTTTGTCACTGATAAGAAACACAGTGGCCTTTTCCTTTCCTTTATCCATACTAAGTTCTATAAGGGGACGTGCCTTACACTTGAGTTTACTCTGTGATCTGAGTCTTCAAACGCTGTTGCCTTCGTATAAAATACCTTTATTGAACAAGATCGATTTTCTCTAATTGTCAAGAAACTTTGCCTCACTCATTCAAATCAATTTTTCCATAACAGGTCCAAAGCTGAAGAGGCCTTTAATGAGATGAACCTCCTCAAACCCACAAACAGCACCGCAAACTTAGTCATAACTGATCCGTTCATGGCTTCAATGAGCTGTTTTCTGATTTGATTCCCATTTAAATGTTACACGCCGTCCCTAATCGTACGAGAAACACGACTGGTTCGATTAGACTCTTGGCGGTAGCGGCGCGTCGGGACAACCGATTGTAATTCGTTTTGTCTCTCACGCCAACAGGTGACGAAATCTCCACGGAAACTAAAGCGGAACCGCTCCGAGTCGCCGTCGGGTTTGAAAACGTGACGCTCGAACGAATCTGCACACCTCCGGAAATCCGTGTAAACAAACAGGCTTCGCACGGCTCTTCAGAGAGTAGACTCAGATGGGAGATGACAGAGACGGTCCTCCCAAAAAACCCACCGACAGGAAGGGGCCTGACACGAAAACATCGTCTCCAACACTGAGCCAAAGCTCAGAGCCTCTAAATTAAATGTACCGTGGGGGAAATAAGTATTTGACCCCTTGCTGATTTTGCAGGTTTGCCCACTTGCAAAGAATGCAACGATCTATAACTTTAAT